CCGGTTTCGGATTTGCCTGTCACTGTGGCTAGCCACAGTACGCCTGCGCCTACATAGGGCCAATACATGGCTCGCGCTGCACCACCCACAGTTCCAACTACACACCCCATATCCAGTGTAAACCCGAAGGAATAAGACCGGGAGGCATGTGGATGGGAGCCACGTTTCATCAACGGAACCGGCCCACACTCCTTCACAGGCAAACACAAGCACGCTGTATTTGGGGAATCAAGCGCACACAAGACGGTAGCTGAACCGTAGTCCGCTCCACACTGAATGCATGAAACCACTCTTCGAGCCGAGCACGACCACAAGGACCGTGCACCCCGTCCCCTCCAGCAACGACCAACTGTCGCCTAGACCCAAAATGGACGAGGTAGTGGGTAATAGACAGGTAGACATCTTGTCAACATGCATATCAAGCGCATCCACACCGGGGATATCAAGCAACAGCCATTCACTTGAAAAGACAAGATGAAATAAAATAAATGGAATAATGCATGCAGATCCGGTGGCATAACTCTTCGCTAAATTACCATATGAAGTAAGTTGGTTAGCAACGATTGCGCGATAACTAAAAAATGTCCCTAAGTTACTTAAAAATGCTACAAAGGCAACAAAGTTACCTAAAGTAAGCGCAATTAGCGTAAGCTAAATGGCCAGTTTATAGAAGATTATTCAGATAGGCAGAACAAACCAAACAAAGTGGAATGAAAGTCGTACAGCTTAAAAAGACCTAGTTTAAGTGTAGGGAGTATTCTCTCCATAAAACCGTCATTTCAGCCAGGACCTGGTGGTATTCCTCCAGCTGTCATCAAGTATGGAGGCAAGAACATTCCTCTGCTGACGTTAAACGTCCTCATATTATCCTTAAACAGTGGATATTTCCATCCACAGTGGAAAGCCTCGGCAATAGCCCCAAAACACAAAGGTGGCTCCCAATCAGCAATGATGAATTATCGCCCTCTTAAGCATACTGTGGCAAGTTCAAAGGTCCTGGAGCGAATTGTCAAGAATGTTTGTAACAAGAGGAGACCTGATAAACAGCACACAGCACGGGTTTCTTACCAAGTGATCCTGTGTAACATGTCAAATACAATTCTTCGTCCACGTAACATCGGTTGTTGACAGCGGCATAGCAGTTATGGTCATTCTACTAGGCATGCATAAGGCCTTCAATGGTATGCCACATAAAATTTTACTGTCCGTCCTGCACTTTTACGTGGTCAGCAACCCATTGCTAAGCTGGTTTAAATCCTACCTAGAAGATCAGGCGCGGAGCGTTAAATAGGCCAGTAACTCCCCTCCTCCTGAAAAGTTACGAGCGGAGTTGTCCATGGCTGTGTCCTTGGACTACTACTCTTCCTAATGTATATAAATTCCATTTGTGATTACATCAAACATGGAGGATCATACCTCTTTGTGGACGACGTTAACCCCTCTACACATTTCCACCCTGATAACCTTTAGTCGGGCCTTAATAACATACATGAGGACTTATCTGCGCAGGACTCTTGCAGTAAAAATTGGTCCATGAAATTCTCCGCTGAAAATAGCAAGTGCTTGGGTATGGATGTTGCATACCGGATGTCTCCATCACCCTAGCAAGTACAAACATCCTCTCCTCTGCAGTTAGGGGCCTTGGAGGAATATATTCCGCATCGCTGAACTTTTCCGAGCATGTCACATATCGGATAGCAGAGGCAAAGAAATTGAAAGCCCATATCACTCAATCCTCTGTTCTACGTGTAGCGAGATTGGAAATGTTTAACATTTTCGTGAGACATTTGCTGGAGTACTGCACGATTATCCATAGTCACCTGCGTAAATTGGATGTAGTAGCTTTAGTAAATATTCAGCGTTCTTTCACGAAACCCATAATAACGAGTTTCGGTCCGGTCCATCACTCTGAATAATGAAGACCGCTCTCGCCGCCTTAAACTAGACCCTCTATGGCTGCGCCGCCTGAGAAATAATCTAGTTCTCTTTTGCAACATTTTACAACGCCGGGTGTACACGACAGGCATAGATCTTAAATTGCAAAATACTTCAACCTATCCCACAAGAAATATGGCTTACTCACTCCCCGTAAAAAGGGGAAGTTAGGGAGCCGCTCCAACTTCTCCCTCGTCAGGTATACTCAAAAAAATAAAATAATAATAATAATGAAAAAATGTGTCAGCTGTACGCCGTAACGGCGCTTCGCTGCCGCGCGACCACCACCAGTCGCGCGCGGGCTGAGTATATCGCGAGAACGCCCACCCCTACGCGGATTCGAACCGGTGGCCTTATGGTTGCAAAGCCAACTTCCAGACAAGCTATCATTGAAAGTACGGGAAACTGAGCGCTTCAACAAATCTAAAATGAACTTTAGTACCTTTCTCACCATGCAGCACAAAATGAAATCATTCGGTCTACAAGTGTCTACAGATGTGTCAATTGCATCAGGTCCAAACAATATATGATCTATATTGCAGGTTCATTACACTCAATCATACCTTAATTTTATGCTCGAAAATGCCACCCTTGAAGTCTCACTTGTAAGACTGAGACTGAGACTGTATTTAAGAGCAAGTAGAAAGGTTTCTGTACAACTCTATCGATTTGCGAAAAATCATAAGTTACTTGTGAATTCTCGGCAGTTGTGTCTGGTCCGTTAATCGTTTATGCTTGTTCGGTTAGAAATTTGTAATAGTGTTATTATTTCCGGGCATACAATGTCTTCTTTTGGCACTGTAGGTGCATCGGTTTTACAAAAGCATAGGTTTCCAAAATAATCGTCGAACCGGTTTTAAAACACTTCACAGAATCGGCCTCTATTAATCCTTCAGGTAGTGTATTCCATAAGTTTATGATTCTTCGTTTGTAGGTGCAGAAACGAAAAATATCTATCGCTTGCTTTATCTCTCCTCCGTATATGTTAAATCTTCTACTGTGCCATGGCATCCGGATAATTTGCATCACATAGTGCGTATTGAAAAGTGAAGTCAACTCAATAATAACGCTACCTGTTATTCTAAACTTCTGCAATATTTTATCACGCCCAGTCATATGGCATCCCACAGGGTCGCGAGACATGCCATTTGGCTGTTGATTTCGTTGATATTTCTACCCTCTAATTTAACTATTTCATCTTATTCTCCTGTTATTCTGTTGCTCACTAGTGGGCCGATCTCCTGAGATTATGGTTTGAAGCTTCTAAACAACATGTATACCCACGCCAAAAGACCCATTGGTGAATATAAAAAGTGTGCAAACATTAACAAACAGTGCAATCTGAACTGCTGAACTCACACTTAATGGTATATGACTCCAAACGGTGGTCCAGGTCATCTTGCAAGCAAAACTATATGAATGACGAAAGGACTGACTTGCTTGAGTAAGTAGCTCACCAACAAAACAATTGCCCAAATTATGGATAAAATCGGTAGTGGCCAGCGTGCTTTTCAACCACACCGATACATGACCAGATGGGGCGTGGCGTTGCGGGTGAAATCTCTCGAGGGACTACCTCGTATGTATGCAGGTCCCCAGAAGACGGTTCCAAGAATAACCGTATTACTTCACTTGTTCTTTCTTATCTGACTTCATTCTGTATTGAATCTGTTGTACTCCTGGTTCCTAGTTACTTCATCACAACCGTCCTACAGTCTTACCGATATTTCCATTAACATAAAGCTTAGAGCATCTCTCGTGGTTGTGCTGTATTTCCTCTCTAGCTACACCAAAAATCGAATAATTATTACACACTTTCCTAATCACTCTGTCTTTGGCATCTTCTACCAAGCTACCATGCACTGAATAACTCCTGTCTTTACAGTGAATAGGGGTTTATTTCTTTGTATATTTATCTGTTTAATTCTTTCTTTTCAACATTAACTTTTCCTTGCATAGTCACACATGCCCTAAATATTCACCTACAAGTGAAGGCTGAAGGGAATGCCACTGAGCTCACCCAGCATCTCAACCGTCTAGCAGCCCAAAACACAACTTGATTAGTTAAGCATCATAATTACACCAAGAAATGTCTAGACACTACGCTATGTCTTAACGCTCTACGATGTGAATATTGCTTATAGTATCCTGATAAAGCAACGAGTTTGATGATCCACTGGAGTTACCCTAATACAGTATTTTCCTTATTTTCGCAACTCCCTAACTTGCTACTCACAAATAGCTCCAACTGCATTACTCCAGTCTATTATGTAAGATGGTGTCTTACTCAGCTGATTTTGATTGTTAAGTCCAACAGTTTCATGCTTTTCATACTCCTTCTTCCACCCCATCAAACCGCCGCCATCATGGCACCACCAACCTGTACCGTAAACAATCAAATGAGAATGCCCGCGAACTAATAGCATACGGTGACAAAAGTCCCAAATGAATATATTCGCAAGAACACCTCTATTGTAAGCCTATGCAAACGTACACCATTGACATCCTCACATGCCTGAGCATTTTGCATTGTAAATATCACCCGTCCCTTTGTGGGCGCGCTTTCTCGGTAGCAGGAGAAATATACCTTAGTATTATTACTATTATTATTATTATTATTGCAAGTACACTCTAGCAACTGGGGATCAGATATACTGCTTGGCAACCTACAATGTATACATTCCATTTGGGTTAGAATTTTCAACTCATTTGCATTTACGTGCCTGTTTTCTTTCGCTGAACACTTAAATTGTTATACAATCAAAGCACCTATATATGAGCAAGATATATGTGACTTGTTATTAGACTAAGGAAGTTTATATCACTGTTCATCAGAGTCAGCCAAAGCGTACAACAAAATATTTGGCTTAGTTGGTCAATAAGCTTGACACTGAGTGAAACCCAATATAGTATGCCGAGTCATCTCATAAACAACTCTCTGTCCAGAGGCAATTTCACCCTACTTCAACTATTTAATATACTGGTTTGAAGGGATGTACTAAAATAACTGGACACAAATAGTAAATGCTTTAGGACAAAGCTTTCTCTATAATGCGGGAACTTACGTTTGGAGAAATACACCGAACTCGCGAATGCTCCACTGCGAAGTACTTAGTTAAAGCTTTCCTTGGAATACCATCTTCACCACTCTTTCATATCGATCAGCCCACACTGGACTTCGAGATGTGACGGAAATGTTATTGAGACAGCTAGCGCTCTTGCTCTGCGTGCTTTTGCAGGCGATTACACACATCACGTGCTACCTGTGGGCTTAGTGTACCAATCGAATGGTGCGATAAGCTGTAGCAACCGAATTAGTGAGACACGAGGCATAACAGGAGGGTAATGAAGTTACATGCTGTGCACTTGACGAAGTACATTTGGCCTGAGTAAGGTCTCAGAGGGTGTTCATGGCTAGCTGAAATCGGCTAAGCATGACCTGAAAGTGATTGTGTGCTGCACGGTTTACGCGATATAAACTAGGTCTGAGAACTAGTATTATTCTGGCTTAAACCTCTTTGCCACAAAAGTTAAGAAGTTATCCAGCTTCCGTCGGGTACACTGCTCCTTTTGTAACGCCAAATATATAATGTTCCGTGCGTACGTCATCCAATATCCCATTACGTGTTAACATCTGTGTCAGCCGTGATACTGAAATATGACGGAGAGCCACTCCCATCCTAAGGTTTCCGAGGACCGTGGTCTCGAGAATGTTTACCAGTTATTTTCTACCCAGGTCTGGCAACCAAACCAAGGGTTTTCTTTCGATGTTCCCAAGTCTGCGCAATGAACAGCTTAATCAACTGATCACATTAGGTGAAACAGGAATTCTCAGGATGATACGTTGGAACATAAACACATACGGAGTGATTTCAGAGGTTGGTAGCACATACTCAACGACCACGATCACGTATCATCACCTCAAAAACATTAACCAGAGCACCAGTCTAATATGTCGCTGAGTATATGTGGCTACATACTACGCCGGTTGAAATATTGGCAAAATGGTTTCTCTGTCTACCTGCACCAGTTGCCAATATTTAGAAAATATCCCTTACATTAAGAAAGACTTGCCTTCTTAAGGCCAAATCAATACATCCTGACATGCCATTAGATAGAATTAGGATTTCTCACAAACCAAAGTAACCTTTTCATCTCAGTCCGTATGTGAACTCTCGTATTTGGAAATCCAATTAAACTATGTCTGTCACACAATGCCAGCATATGCCTGAGTTCAATCAGACCACCATGTCGGTCAAACTAACCATGTGAACCATACAACATAACCATGATTGCTATACCGCCTAAATGTGTCTAAACGATACGCAACCGTCATGCCTTTCGAAGCCTTGCAAAACGCAGTTAATGGCGTAAGAATTAATGTAAACGTAATTAGGTTGCTGCGAGTTCACCGCCAAGGTAAACTCAAAGCTTGTAACAGACGCTACCCAACATAGCTTAAGAAACATCGTTCGGTCACTGTAGAAGCCATTGCGATCAGCGTGTTGAAACCAGAGCTGTGCAAACAGCGTGTTCTGTAAAAGGAACTACATTTGTTTTTGTACAGCAGTCCGGTAACCAGTCTGCATTTCCCTTGTACCTTAGCTGGGATCAGCTTTGCTGGGCCGTGTCTCGTATATTTGAGTGGATTGCGCTGTACCACCCACAGCTCTATCCACACACCCCAATCCAGTGTAAAGTCGAAAATAGAACCGAAACGCGTGTAGATGGGACCTATGATTCATCAACGGGGCCGGCCCACACTCATTCAACAGGCACAGAAGCAGCATCTCTGTACTTATGATTGTCGAAACTTGCATGTCAAACGTACACAAGCGGTGCCTGGGCCGTAGCCTACCCCACACTGGATGGAAACAATCTTTGAGCCTATCACGGCCACAAGGACCGTGCACCCCGTCCCCCCAGCAACGATTCAGTGTCCTGGATACAGTGATCGAAGGGAAGGGTGTTAGACAGTTAAGCGCCTTGTCAACATACACAAAGATCGCGGCCAGCCGATAGACAGACAGACAGCCAGTCCAGTTTAGCCCGATTGTGATGACCAAGCGTATCGTTTGCTTCCTCAGCATTGACCTTGACAACTGTAAAATGGTAGTGCGAGTGCTGCAAAGTCACATGCATTTGTCCACGCTTGTGTATAAACTATTATACCCTGAATGGAAAGACACATACTCTCACGGAAAATAATAGTATGGGTGTGCATGTATTGAAATTAGAGGCAAGACTAACAATGATATTCTTCAATTTGTGTGAACTCGCACACATAAAGTAAGTACCCAGTTGGAGGGGACTTTATTGACAAAGTTGAACAACACCTGTGTTCCGTTTGGCTCACCAACCTGCGTTCACTAGGATCCCCGTCCTGTGGTATAATCTGACTTGGTCCATCCGTCGCGATACCCATGTTACTGGGTGGGGCCCCGTTGGCTTGGTGCACGATTGTCGACCGTCGCATGGCTCCGTCTTAATGAGTGGTGGTCAAGCCTAACACTACCCTAGACTATGAATATGTCGCAACTAAGCATGAGAAGGAGACCGTGGTAACATGTGCAAAACGGACACTGAATGTGCGGCGGCGATACAATATTGAGCAAAGAAAAGTAAGCGGATTAAGACGGAACTAGGGTAATGATGATTCGGTGTAGCCCAACTGCGGTGACGAAGAGTGGTATACACAACATCAACCGTAACATGAGGTACTAGTATGGGGGCAACAACTTCCATAGTAGCCTGTGGATTTTACTCCTTTCTGCCAGGTACAGAATGCCTGCGCCTGCTCAGAGACTGAGTGGTTGTCGTTACACTGCAATCCTCGATAACAGATGAGTGTCAGCGCAAATGACGTCTTCTCTGATCTTGTGAAAGTGCATTCGGTTCCGACTTATCTTCCATAACGTTTGCCGATTAGCGTGCATCGTTCGCATAGATTAACTAACAGAAGTTTAACTGTCCCTCCTCAGTTGTGTCCTTTCCTCAGCGGTTACATGACAGTGCGTGGTGCTCCGTCTCACACTTGGCATTTTCTGCATAACCTTACCTTAGCCTCGTTGGTGACTTGTTAGACTGGCCGATAAGATGTAGTCCGCTGGTTACCGGCGTTTGTATGCCACAATTTTATGTTCCCTATGCGCTAGCTGCCTTTCTTTGGATTGTTTAAGGGCCCGCCTGATGAGATAAGGCCAACATCCGCGATTCCTTTCCACCTCCCAACCCTTATGTCAATAGCTAATCAGGACAAACTAAATTTATGTAGTCTTAGTAGCGCAAGTTTAGTGTGCCTTCATTCCGACTGCCTGCAAGCCTTTGCCCCATACAGCATTTGCTTCGGTACTCTGGTAGCACATGTCCGTGCCACTTGAGGTATCACGGAGTATCAGGTAGCCTGTTGTGGACGCGTCGCTGCGGCGGATCAAGTCAGTACTAGATGCATTGTCCCGCCGGTGGCAGCGCAGAATTTCGCGCAGGCACTGTTGCTATAATGGCTACAGATACAGGATATCCCTCCTGCACAATGTCAACGTTTCCGCTCCATAGAGAAGGACGGAGAGAACCATCGAGTTTACACCATTGGTACTAAAAGTGAGACGATGGTTCTCCCACCCCCCATGTTTTAGTTTACCAAAAGCCGCACTCTTCTTCATTACACGATCGGGCAACTCGACGATGAGTCGCAAGTCGTTTGACAAGGTGCGCCCGAGGTAGCAGAATGCCGACGTGTTCTGTAGTATTTCATCAGCAATCCGTATTTACAGACTATAGCTTGGCTCTATTCCTCGTACCGGCTGCAACGAGCATACAGCGTTGCTTGTATTTATGCTCTCCGAACTGGGTCGGCGCGGAAGCTAATGTTGTTTTCATGCGTTGCGGTCCTTGCTCGGTATGTACAAACAATGCACAATCGTCGGCAAATAGCAAAAGTCTGATCGTTGTTTCACGTACTAAACTTCTTGCTCCAATGCGGCGGAGCTTCACCAGACCTCCATTCATTTGGTGTTCTAGACGCACAAAGTACTCACAGGTATTTAATAAGCACAAAATCACGGTAGTCAGCTATACATTGAACAGGGTTGGGGCTAAGACGTATCCTTGCTTCCCTTGAAGTAATCTGAGGTCTGTCCGCTCAACTGCACCCTTGCTCGCATACCAGTTTACAGGCATTTGATTAGACAAATAACCTTAGGAGTGAATCCAGCTATCAGGAAAATCAAAAATGGCGCCTCATGGTTCCCCGTATCGAACGCTTTGGTAAAATCAATGGAAAATTAATACAACGGCTCGTAACCTTTTGCGACATTTTTCCTATGGTAGACGCGCTGTGAACACCATTTCGGTGGTGCTTCGGCCTGAGCAGAAGCCACATTGCTGCTCAAATACTTCCGGTTCAATATTATATCATAAGACGGTTGAGCAGCATGCGGGTATGAACTAACCCGACACAGCTAAGGAAGTAGATACCACGATAATTGTTGGTGTGTCGCTTGTCGCCCTTTCCCCAGAGCACCCTCCAACTCCGCGGGCACTTTCAATTCCCTCTAGACGTCTTCCAACAAACGACAGAGTGCGCCTATCATAGCTGTTCCTCCGTTATTCAATATTTCAGGAGGTATACCATCAGCACCAACGCATTCCCCATGTCGTAGTTTCGCAAGCACTCTCTGAGTTTCGTACATTCCGGATGTGTCCTCTAGTTCGGATAGTACGTTGTGGCGTTGCAGCCCGTGTAGTGTGTCCCAGTCATCATCGACTCGGTTGTTCAGGAGTGTAGCTGTGTTTGTACCACATTTGCAGGATGTCATCAGATTATGTATAGACGTTGCCAGTCCCAATGTCCTTCATTGTCTTCATTGGCTACACGGTCGGCCCGTACATTGTCTTCAAGGCGTTATAGAAGTCGTTTGTTGGCGGCGTTCTACGTAGTATTCCATCTGCTCAGCTCTCACTGTCTTTTGGAGCTGCTGCAGCTCTCCAGCTGACGGTCTACGAATCTAACGAAAAGTACAATTCCCAGCGTCGTTAGGACCAACCTTAGATGCAGCAAACTCTCCGTTTTTCTCATACCGATGTCTCAGTCGTCGTACTGAATCCGTCGAACCAGTCAGGTCTGGACCAATCACCCACTCCGCACCAGTAGTCACCAGTTTTTTCAAAGGATTCCATAGGATATGGATCATAGCCAAGCAGTCGACTTCACCAAGGCGGGTGGACATGACATCCCCCAACGATTGTCGCTTT